TCATGCAGTTATTGTTACAGGAAGTGTGAAACAGAGGATGTATGTTGATCCAATTCTCAGTCTCCATCTCACAACCAGAGTAATCTGAAAATGAAAGTGTTTACATTAAAATAGATCAAATGCAGCAAAAGGATCGTCATTGTCGCAATTTGTTTAATCTTCTTCTTCTTTGTTCACCGGCTGTAAGTTATGTAAATTAATTAGTTAGTTAGTTAGTTAGTTAGTTAGTTAGTTAGTTAGTTAGTTAGTTAGTTAGTTAGTTAGTTAGTTAGTTAGTTAGTTAGTTAGTTAGTTAGTTAGTTAGTTAGTTAGTTAGTTAGTTTAGTTTAGTTAATCGACAGAATATCCTCACTACACATCAAACAAGTACATGAGCGCTCGGATCCCATCTTCAGTAGATATCTCTCAGAGTGTGGCGACTGATAACACCAGTCCTGCGTTGGTTTACTATTCTTCTTTGGCCACCAGTATAGTGTTCATGTTTGATGACACCTCTTTTGGCCTGAAGGTCTTGTCGTGTTTTTCAGCGTTACCGACTTACCGTCTTCTCCCGAATCATCTTCTCGTCCTGCCTTCTTATAAAGTTCATTCGTTCGTTCTTTCTTGAGAACATCGAGAATGTAGGCACGGTCTATTGCTTATCCGGTACCAACCGTGGCCCTACCAGCAAGCCAATCCGCTCATTTATTCCCTATTACCCCAGGGTAGCATGGCATAAAAATTGAACTAATTCCTATCAGACGAGATTTTTTTTAACAATCTGAGGTGGGGCGGTGGTGGGAAGGGGGGGGGGACACCAAACCCCGGCACAATACCAATACCCTAATATGGGCAAATGAGAACTAGTCATTTTCATACGCCTCAGAACATGGCACAACAGTTTACGCAGCCACATACACCCGAAATTTAAGAAGGTGTATCAGCCATGTCCACATGTGGAAAGTCGCCCCAGACATTGGTGAACACATACGTCAAGACTGCGCCGAATTTGACATATCAGGGCAAAACGTTTAGCCAAAACGAATAGAAGTAGAAAATAAATTTCACAGGCTAGTGAATAAACTAAACGACAGTGAAATATACACGATAGACAAAATGGCAGATATAAACAAGGAAGGAACGAAAATGAAGAAGAATGACCACCATCTTGATAATTATCTCATCATCGTCATCCTCATCATCATCATCATCACTTCGATCATCATCTTGATTATCATATAATCATTATTGTCATCATAACTGTTATCACCGCTAAGCCTGGAGCCAATATAATGTGGAATAGAGGTGTAGAGGGAAGTAACATCTAAGGTGAAGATGTGGTACCTGGAAGAAGAGGTGAACCAGATGGACTGAAAGACCAAGACAGCATGGTTAGCATCCTTGATGTAAGACAGAAGACCAACGACCAGGGACTGCAAAATATATGAGTTCTGTGGGACAAGCGCAGGCGGACACGATTCTTCTGCCTGGGTTGTCAAATTTATGTATCTCAGGAAGCATACAGAGGCAGGGCTTTGCCAGACATCTATCCTCGACAAATAAATATATACCTTTGGCAGGTAGACGATCGTCCTTAATCAAGGTAGTGATAGTACTTTTATTCTATTTTATTGTTTTTACCAGGCCATCGTGTGTCTGTGGTTTATAGAACAAGGTGTCACTAAGTTGCTTGTCCTCTTCTTGCACATATAAATCTTTTCTCCAGACTACTACCATCCCTCCCTTGGCCGCAGGCTTAATAACAATATCATCACGACGTTTAGTGATTAGTTATTAGAAATAATTATCATCACAGCACTCCGAACAGATCCATAGGTGCTCTGATCTCCTCCTCAAAAGCTGCTCAAATGTAAAACAACTGATGACGCGTGTTCTGTGTTGGTTAATGGAACAACTTGTCCCCTTAGTGAAATATTCATTTCTTGCAGCTCCAGGCTGCACCCCCATGTCCATTAGTCTAGACAGGGATATGGAGTCATGTCCTTTGGCGTGCTCCTCAGTACGGTAAGTGCAGTGCATGGCATTGATAACATCACTTCTGTCCAGTACTGGATCAGCCATAGCAACCGCAGTGTCAGCAGGATAGTCTGCACGCTCGTTTCCTTAAACACCCGCATGACCTGGCACACTGATGAAGGTTACAGGAGCTAATCGTGAAGTGCTTAGTGTTGCAATCAATTCTTGCCTGATAAACGACGCTTAAATCGTGTGAGTGCTTGAAGCTCGTCACTCTCTAGCTCTCTTCTCTATTCTTTTATTGGAAGAGCTTCCCTTATCTTGGTTAGCTGGGTATTTCTTGTTTCTCTTTTAAGTTTGTTTTTTTTCCACGATGGGGTGGATTTTGTGGCCTGGTTATTGGTTTTACGGTATGAGTTACCCAACCCCAACCCAATCCTAACCTTGTCACCTTTTACGACATGCCTGGTACACTGCTGTGTTGCTATTCTTTGCTTCCTATGACGGCCCCGGTAACACACGGGTGGATATATCCCCTCACTCGTTTTTAACAAATCCATTATATTCTTCTTCTGCTTCTTTTGTGTCCGCCCTTAAAATGGTCGCTTGCACGCTCTGTTGTGATTTACAATAGGGCTGTGATATCTCCTGCCTTTCGGCCCAACACATCTGATTTCATCAACCTATTGATTGGCTACTCTTACAACAGGTTTCTTAAGAGGCAATCGATCAATTCTTGGCCCCCCCCCCCCGACCCCCCGGCCTACTCACTCAAACACGAACACACACACACAGACACACACACACACACGCGCATGCACTAGCACTGGGAAACCTGGAGCTTACAAAGAGAGATAGAAGATAAGACTCAATCACTTACTTCAGGCCAGGTTGGATACACGGGGATTTTAGTCCTGTAAGTGACAAGTTCTCCAGGCTTGCTTGGACATTTCATTGCATGACAGGCATCGGTGTCATCCAGATTGTAGTTGATAAACGTGTTGAAGAAGCTACCAGCGGCTTCGGCGGTGACGTTGTCTATTGTGATATCTTAGAAAAGAAGAAGGGAGGGGTGGGGGGGGGGGGGGACAATCAAAAGTATGTACATGTAAAAACAATAAGCAGTGGGAAGCTGAGGTTGAGGATGTTAAAGTCAAGAGCACTGATATAACTGTGCTGCTGTTATACTTTATGACTGGCCCACCTGCGGAGTGGGAGTTGTCGAGGCGGAGCGGCTCGCGAATCGGAAGGTCGTGGGTTCTCTCCCAGGCGGAGCCAGACTTTTTTCAAAAATGACCTTGGCTCCTAGGTCGACCCAGCTATGAGTGGGTACCGGGTGCAGTCCCGGGAAATAAAAGCGGCCGGCGTGATTCTGACCACATCACCCATCTTGTGCCGATTGGTCTATAAAATAGAGGTCTAACCCTTTATGCTCTACACGCTTAAAGGCGTGGAAAATGGTCCTTTAATTTACACTTGCGGAGAGAGCGACGTGCTGCGAAAGACCTGCGTGGCTCCATGGTTGTCAACAGTGGCGTAGCAACGTCAAATAGTATCCGGTGCGTAAAATCCTCTGCCAGCCACAACCCCACTCCCCCCACCCCCTCCCCCACCCCCACCTTTCACCATTTAAAAAAATACATATACACAAATACTGTCAGTACTGGGAGTGAAAGTCATTTTTTGAGAGGGGGAAAATTTGGCTCCGTTTGAATTTGAACCCACGACCTTCACTACTGCAGGTGAGCGTCTTCTTCTTCTTCTTCTTTCGTTCGCCTGAAATGAGTTATCTATATCAGCAGTTTTGTCTCTTGTATAAATTTCACTGTCGTTGTTAGTTCATTCAGTGGTCCATAGAGTTTACGTTCCACTGTTGTTCTTTCTGGCCAAAAGGTTTGCCTTAATGTGTCAAAATCGGTGCAGTCCTGGAGTACATGCTCTGCGGTCTGGGGCACATTTCCACAGGTGCACATGGCTGATACACCTATCTTGAATTTTGTGTAGGCCCTACATGTGGTTACGTAATCGGTTGTGCCCTGTTCTGAGGCGGAAGATAATGACTTGTTCTGGTCTGTCCATAATAAAATAGTCGTCTTGTGCTGGGGCTGGTGGTTTCCTGATCGATTTAATGATTCTTTTCTTTTGGTGGTATTTGACTGGTACATCTGGCTGCTCTTTTGTCGCACCTTCCCCTGCCAGTTGATCAGCTTTCTCATTTCCAGGCACTCCACAGTGAGACGGTATCCACTGCATTACGACTCTTCGCTGAACGCTGAGTTGTGTCAGCAGTGTTTGCAATTCTGGTAGTTTCCTATACTGGAGTGCTTCAAGTACTGATTTAGCATCTGTAAGCATTACCACATTCTGCGAGTCAATGTTGGTATTTAGCAGTTTCTCTGTAGCTATCTTAATAGCCTGGGTTTCTGCATCGTAGTTATGGCAGTACTTCCCGGTTGGTACGCTGGACTTATCCCTAGTACCATCTGGGAATTCGATGTACACTCCAGCACCACCATTTCTAACTGCACTTTCTGCGGACCCATCTGTATAGACTCTGACCCATTGTTCTTGTGGGTATTCTTTATCAATATAACTGAGGGTGGCCATTTTGCGTTGTACACTATCTTGCTCTTTCTTGTCAAATATCCCTTTCACATTTGTCTGGATTTGTACCGTTAGTTTACATTTTTCTCTCCATGGGGTTTGTTCCGGAATACTTTTAAGTGGGCAGCCAATTTCTGGAAGGTCAGGAGTTTGTCTACATATTCTTTTTGCTTGGTGTATAAAGCTGCTTCTTTTTAACCGTCCCAAGGCTAGGTTCTTAAATCTATTTTCCATCGGGTGATCTGGCATACTGAGGAACTTTTCAGCTTGTATTTGCAACTTTGTATCTCTGCGTTCTCTCAGTGCCTGTGTTTTCCCAGCTTTCTCCATTTCTAATATGGGGGTTGATTTCATCCCTCCTGTGATGACTCTGAGCGCTTGATTTTGCACTTTGTCTAACTCCTTTAATGTGGTACTAGATGTTGAACACCATGCAGTTG